CCCCTTTTCGCTGTTGTAGACCGGTCCTGCTCATGCTCGCGGCTCCATGCCTATAGGCTCGGATTACCAAGTCTACACAACATTAGGAACGTGAAGGCCAACAGCACTGCAGCAGGCTTCTCTCAATAATATCAGTAGCTTGTCGGGTCGAAAAGGTAGTGGTCCGTTGTCGGACCCAATAACCATATCATGAAATATTTTTGTCAAACTGCCCTGTACCGTACCTGTGCCGAACTGCAGAAGGGCTCAATACCATCATGACCGAATACCGCAACGGTCTCAAAGCAGGCCGAAGACCATTCTAGACCAATCACGATACCAAGGATACCGCAATATTCAGTTCTCGTGTCTCGTTGTCATTACCCCAATGACCGCACTCAGCACACTGGCCCAATACAGAACGTAATATCATGTCGGAGATGAATCAAGCTGATACCATCCAGATAACGGCATCGTAGCAGCTCCAAACCTCAAAAGACTCAGAAAGCGGAAGCATGCCCTCACAGTACCAACCTGTCCCGAACTAATGGGACTGTACCGTAACCAGTGCCCCGTGAGTCGTGCCAGATCAGTGCAAAATGCCATGCCATCCCATAGATGTACCTTTGTATCGTACCACAAGAATGCCGAATTGCCACCATACCAGTGCCGAGCCTGTCCTTAACCAGAATGTCGTACCCGAATCGAACCAATGGCCATACCAAAAATATGACGTCGAGCGGCACATACCAAAGTAGCACCAGCGGCAACGCCACGCCGACCATGTGACCTCAAATACTCAAAACATCGAGATTTTGGCGAGGATAACAATCAGATAAATCAGGTAATCACGCAAGGGCTCACAATCATCGGGAACTCGAAAGAATCGTCAGGCTCGAGGTGAGTAAATAAATCCGGAGCTAAAATCCATTGCGAATAATTTTGATAAAATCTAATCAAGTAATAAATAATCATTGGTTTTCTATTCTTTTATTATTTTTAAATATTTTTCCCATTTTTAATTTTGTTATCGAAAATAGTGAAAATAAAGGGCAATTTCATCAGGATCAAATTCCGATGAAATTTAAATAAATAGCAAATATTTCGTTATTCTCTTCTCTCCTATTATTTTTAATCCTTTTTCCCAATTTTAAATTTTATATTTAATTTTAACAAAATTTGAGGGCCTCATTTCCCCGTCAATTGTATGGTGTAGAAGACCTGCGCCAAGGCCTACCACCACATCTTCGTACCACGACCGCCAGCTTCGGGAACAACCTCGGAACGGACGAAAAATGGTAGGCTCTAGGCGCGATAGGCACGGCTGTTCATTGTGTTGATATCAAGGGTTAGTTTCAATAATCGATGGGGGAAATATTGGGACCCCTCTTTCGACCCCTAATTTTTCCCGACGACTCTAACGAAAGCGCCGGTTAATTCCTCTCTAGGCACCTAACCTAAGGCCCAATTCCTCGTGTTTCGAGTGGCCGACTAGTCTGTGGCCACCCAACAGATAAGCCCGGACCTCTACTTAATGCCCCCGTCGAGCCCGCTCCGTCTGGATCAGACGAATCGTAAAAGATTTAGAGTGACCACACGCATACACCATTTATCTCTGCGCTTATCTGTCTTGTACTTAGGTTTTTTGAGGACCTTAGGACTTAGAGAGTGTTTCTTTCCTCTCTCATGTCGCGGTCGTTTGGAAACTCGACCTTCCACCATTATTGATGGGATAAGACTATGCCTTCACCATATTCACTACGGTCACCTATAAGAACTTAGGTACGAGCCGTATGAATGATGTGTGCAAGAAAGACAAAGAGTCAGACACATCATTCTCATCACAACAGATAGAACCAGAATGTTCAATTAAAAACTTTTGAAAGTTGAAAAGAAATTGTGAAATCATAGGAATGTTTTTCAGCTTCTTTCTTCGTTGGAGTTGCAGTGCTGCAGATGCTTCACCTCGTCTAATGCGGACTCTTCGTTTGGGTCTTCGTAGTACAAAAAAACATTTCCTTTTCTTTCCTAGCGTCAAACCCTTTACTTTCTTGGTCTCTACTTTGTTTCTTTTCTTCGAACTCTCACCTACCTCGAACCGTCTCGATGATCCCTCATCTGCCACCTTGGCTTTCCCCTTCGCCTTGGGGTCTGACAGTACTGGTGTAGGTATAGGGGTTTCCTTTGGCCTAAATAACTTCAGTCTGGCTCCTGCCATATGATCTTTCCACTTAGACCCGTCTAATTCAGCAATTATATTTGTGCCCCAGCCGAGCGCACTGACCATGCAGTAAGGTCCCATCCACTGATTTGCTAACTTTCCTGACCAAATCCTCTCCAATGCCGCATCGTAGAGGAGTACCATATCACGCACAACTACCCTTTCCTTTCTAATCCTAACATCCTTATCCCATCTTTCCTTGCCTTTCCCTCTTTCCACGGCCAATCGGTCGGCCGCCGCCATGAGGTTGTCCTCTAGTCCATATGTTATTTGTCTCGTCCGCGTTGCTGGGAGCATCTCTCGCGACATACTGTCTGCCCAGTCAACTGTGGTCCAGCTATCCACATGAAACTCTATGGGCAAAGGGCAGTGTCTCCCAAACCATAGAGTGTAAGGGGGGTATCCCGTGCTAGCTCGAACTGTGAGATTGTCCGCCCATATCGCGTATCGAAAGTACTTCGGCCAATCGCTATCCTTACCTCTTCACCACTTGGACAATGAAGTTATCAAGGATCGATGGCCTCGCTCTACAGGTGCGTTGGATTGAGGGTGGTAGGCAGTTGCTATCGATATCCTAGCCCCCGCTTCTTGAAGACATTTTGGACCTCATCCGCTAGGAACTCCGCTCCTCTGTCCATCACAATCCTACTGACGCACCCATATCTAGACATATATTCCAGAACAAAGTTCTTTAGTTCTCTGGCTACCTTTGTTATGATAGGCTTTCCGTCGACAAATCCAATGAAGTCATCTCTGATGTTCATGACATAGTTCATATTCCCTACGCCTTTCGGCATCTTCACTAGATCAATATGCACTTTTTCGTCCGGCCTTGTAGGATAGGAAGGATGAAGCGACTCCTTGTACTTTACAAGGGATCTCTTCTGACATTCCTTACAGGTCACGCAGTACTTTTCGACCTCTTTGTACTGCCCTTCCCACCAGTATAGCCTTCAGACCTTCTCATATGTCATTTTTACTCTTCTATGCCCACCGACTACGCAGTCGTGAAGTTCCGCTACTATCGCTCACTTCTCTTCGGGATCACAGACCACCCGCAGAGGCATCCCTGACCTTATGGGTCTGCGAAACAAATGTCCAGATCTAAGGTAGTACTGAGCTGCTTGTCTCCTGATCTCTAAGTCCGAACTCTTCTCTCCCGACAGATGCAACCCGATTGTCCGGTACTTACCTTCATAAAGGTTGACTAAGAATCGATTAGTTCGTCTTGGCTCGGTCAAGGTCAGTGCCGCTGCAACTATTGGTCGCTCCGCCTCAATTAGTATTCGTGAAAGTTCATCAGCTACTGCATTCTTCGTTCCCGAGATTTTCTCCACATTATAGTCGTAAAGTCGAGTCCTCATCCGCCATCATGCAATAGTGGGATCAGTCAGGCTGAAGTCTTTCTGTAAAACTTACGCTATTGCCGTAGGATCTACCCGTAAAATGAATTGTCTCCCGTATATGTAGTGTCTAAAGACGTCTACGCACCGTAGGACAGATGACACCTCCTTTTTGAACTGACTATAGTTGCGTTCAGCGGTGTTAAGCATATGACTCTCGAATCTCAGTGGCCTCTCCTTACCGTCTGCGTCTTTTTGAGAAAGCATCCCTCCAATGGAACATGGCCCCGCTTTCATAGACACTATGAAGGGTGTGTTGGTCTCATCCTCGAAGTAAGGTACACCTAGGATCCGTCCCTCTTCTTTAAACTCTTCCTTGAGGGTTAACAGCACAAGCTCCTGAGGAGAATCCTAGTAGAATCGCTCCATTTTCCTAAGGAGGATCTGCAGAGGTTCTGCCTTCTCCGTGTACCCACGTATGAAGATCCGCCAGTATCCTATAACCCCTAGGAATTTATGGTTTTTGGTCATGCTGTGCAACGAAGTTGGCCAGTTCAAGAGTTTATCTAACTTTGTTAGATTTGTTCGCCGCCCTCTCGAATCCCAAATGAACCCTAAAATCTTAATCGACGAAACTATCCACCGGCTCTTCGTCCCGCTGACCGTTAGATTTGCTTCATCTAGCTGTTTAAGGACTGCGTAGATGTCTGTCAGGTGTTGCTCTACGAATCTCCTGACACCAGGAGCAACCTCTGTCTCATCTTTCAGTACGGGCCCTTTTATCGGAAAGTCGTTCAAAAAGACTTCAACTTTGTCAGGAATGAAGTCTTTCAAAACAACAACCATAGCTCTCTGGAAGACTGCAACCCCATTAGTCCATCTCATAGGTACGACCATCATCTGCACGAATCTGAGAGGCGTATGCATTGCAGTAAGGTCTCTATCTCTAAGATCTAGAGGTATTTTGTCATAACCTGAAAACAAATTGCAGACAGAGTAGATCGATCTACCTGCTGCTCCCTCTGCTAATAGGTCAGCATGCGGTATGGGTCTGACATCTCGGATGGTAACCGCATTAACCTTCTGAAGATCTTGAATCCACCGGATTTTCCCATTAGACTTCTGCAAGAAGAACCACCTATTCGCGTATGCGCTATCAGATGGTTCTGCCACATGCGACGCCATCTTCTCTTTAGAAAGGCAATTACTTCCTCCTTCTCCTTCTGTGTAAACTTCCACCCTGCGTCATTCCACGGAGTATGTGGAATCGTGTAGATCCTGCCGGGTTTAGCGTACCTAGGATCGATCCTTCCTCTTCCTGTGTCGCTAAAGGCTATGGCCTTATCACAAGTCTTAAAAACCTCTAACACTCGCTTCTTCTCCTGTTCTGTCAAATTTCCATCTCCTATGTCCATCTCCGCTATCCTCTCTTCTGTCCGCCGTTGCGGCTCTCTCTTCTTCCTTTCTTTAATTTATCGAGCAATCTCTTCTTCAGATATTCCGTCTAGTGCCGATCGCTCTCGAGTTACTGCCGCCGGCTTAACCTTTTGAGCTACTGTCTTGTGTCTCTTTGGTCGCCCCCCGTAGGGGACTACGCCCTTAAAAAAGACACCGCGATCATACCTCCGAACTCCTCATCTTCAGCCTTCAGATAAGAGTTTCCATCCACGAGGGCGCGATCACCTAAGTCCTCGACCTCCAGTATGCGCCCCTCTTTCTCCGTGAGAGACGTCCCGTACTTCTTCTCGCGGAATCGCAGCGAGCGACTTGCGAGGGTGGCTTGCTTGCGTATGTCGTCAGCCGCTAAAGCCGCTCTATTCCTCGGATCACGAGGCTCGACTGTCCCTATCATAATCCGACCATTATCTTGACGCTTAATGGAAAGCATCTGGCTTCCGATCAGTCGCTCTATCGTAACCGCATGTACGTGGCTCAACCACGTGCGTCCTAGTAATAGCTCCGAGTCCCTGACCGTGAAGATAGGCATCAGAACGCGCAGACCTTCGACCTCGATGGCCGCCTTGTGGCAGACTCCGGAATTTTTTTGCTTCCTCTCATCGGCTCTCTCTATCTCGAACAGGTAAGACTTGTCCAGGTTCAACCCTAATCGCACAGCGAGTTCCTCATCTATGATGACCGCTTCACTACCATTGTCAATCACTCCTTGAAGAACCCTCTCGTCATTGAGAATGGTCTCGACTGTTCCGCTTCCCAAAATATAAAACTTGTCAGGAGGCACACCTTCCATCCCATCTAAGTACACCGTGGCGGCGCGTTCAGCTTTAGCGCCCACCCCTGACACCGCTACAGTCGGTGCTTTTGGCTTAGGGGTCATCTGTACATCTTCCCCTAGAGGTACGCGGCTCTTCCGCGTGATCATTTGGAGTTCATCGTGAGCTGGCCTGGATGCGGCTAAGTACTCAAGAATCGAGCACTGCATAAGCTGCCTCAGTGCCCACCTGAGCGGTTCCACTGTGTCGATGTCATCCAAAGAGCTCTTCATCGTGAACTTCTTTACTCCACGCTTGCGTGGGGAAAGGATTACCTCCCCCCCTTCAATCCTCTGCCCATCCTTTTCCTCCACGTAATCAGTATCCGTCTTCTTAGAAGTAGATCCTCTTGCGGACTTCGTTGCCGCACCCGTATCGGTGTGACGGGCATCTCATCGTCCGAGGGCAATGTCATCCGCACGCTCTGGCTCTTCGCTGCTTCTTTGCCCTTGCTTGGGCACACCCGCCTGGCCTCAACGTTCTCCTTCATCAAAGGGAACATCGATATGTCTCCTTAATCATCTGCACACTTGACATACTTGCGTTCATCAAGCACGACAAACCCCTCGTCGATGACTCTCCTGAGGTCCGAACAATCTCTCTTCACGTGATCATCTGTCCGACAGTAGATGCAGGAGTGCTCGCGATCGGTCGATTGATCGTGTGTGCTGTCCCAACGTTATCACCGTACGTGTGTTTCGCTCGTCTCAATTGTAACATCAAAACACACGTGGAAGCTCCCTCTGCTCGATCAATCAAGTGGGCGGCGAGCGACCGATCCGTCACACTCGTTGATGTACCCGGACCGAACATTAGACTGGTCAAGAGATCTGCTAGGACCAACATGACTGAACGACTGCTCGGTTGGCGATTGGACGACCGGTTGATCAACCCCTCCACCAACCATACAACCGAACAATAATTCGATCCTGGCAGATCTCCTGACCAATCGAAACACACGTGGCGATGCGCGTGAGTCTGTGTGTGCACGTGTGCGTTTGTGTGCTGCGTCATCGCTACAACCTATTTTGCGTTCCAGTCGTTTCATTCGGGTACCGATCGTGGCATCAACCTTTTCGCGATCGCTCAACTGGCAGGCGAACAACCGATCCATTAAACTGGTTGACAGACTTCGATCAGACAGTCGATCGGTCAGGAGATCGGGCAGGAGCAACAGATTGATCGATTGCTCGGTTGGTGGTTGGTCAACTAGTTGATTGATCGGCCGCTCGCCGACCAGCTCACCGATATGTCAGCCGAGTGGTTCACTTTTCTCGCCCCGATTGCACACGCAACTCGCAAGGTAATTGGTCAAGCTCACGATCGGAACATGTGAAAAAAGGTCGACCCCTGTTCGCGAATGGACAAAAAGCACTTCGTGACAACCTTGTTGCACATCGAACGTTGTTGGCTATCGAACCTTGTCGGCCATCGAACCTTGTTTGCCATCGAACCTGGCGCCTCATCAAACCTCGGCGGGCATCGAAATTTTGGCAGACATAGAACGCCACCGGACGTCGAACCTCGTCGGTCATCGAAACTTGTTGGTCATCCAACCACGAGCGTTGAGCAGCCACCACACCCCGCGTCGCCGGCACAGTACTCGAAATCGAAACGAGGTCGTCCCAATCCGCCATCACGACCTTGGTTATACCAACCGAACTGATCGCGCAACTGGACACCGGAAGAAGTTCGGTTTCCGGCGATGTTGGCATTTTCGTCTGGCCCTTGAATGCGCCCGTCGAATCGCACACCCACCCAAACATGTCGATATGCGCAGGCACATCAAGGGACCGATGTCTTTCTGTCGGACAAACGAAGTCCACCAGAATCCGAACTTCTTCCACCGACCGATTTCCCGACATGTCAAGTGCGAAGGCAGACATGGCAAACGACCGTATTCCGATGGCCAGTTGCGACAACATGTGAACCCCTGATGCGGGCGATCTTGTGCAGTTGTCCCAACACGCCGTGCAACCCCAGCGGGCAACCACAGCGGGGGACCTGTGAAAATGTGAAGTCCGCTGGGATCCGAACTTCAAGAAAGTACGTGAAGGCGAGTTTGATAGACATCTGTGTCTCTTCCACGTAATCTCGCCAAGCACGGATCCCGACGGACCTCGGATCCCGGCCTTTCGTAAGACCCAACACACGGTGCAACCCCAGCGGGCAACCACAGCGGTGGACCTGCGAAAATGTGAAGTCCGTCGGGATCCAAACTTCAAGAAAGAATGGAAAGGTGAGTTTGATAGACAACTATGTCTCTCCCACGGCATTTCGCCAAGTACGGATCCCGACGAACTTCAGGTTCTTGCCTTTCGTAAAACCCAACACGCGATGCAACCCTAGGGCACGACCACAGCGAGGGACCTGCGAAAATTTGAAATCCGTATGGATCCGATCTTCAAGAGAGCATGGGATGGCGAGTTTGGTAGACAGATGTGTCTCTCCCTCGAAATTTCGCCAAGTTCGAATCCCGGTGAACTTCAGGTTCCCGCCTTCCGTAAGACATGTCTGCGGCTCGTCTGCCGGCCCGCGGATCCTAACTTTGAGTGCACGGTTCATCGCACAATCGACAAGTTCGGACTCCGGCGAACTACGGACTCGTAAAAACGCGTAGTCCGTCGGGATCCGAACTTCTCGCGCACGGTTCCTCGTACAATCGTCAAGTTCGGAATCCGGCGCACTTCGCTTTCCGCACGGTGAGGGTTCCGACCGTGGGCTTTCTGGCACGCGGTGGATTGCCACAACTTCAAATTCATGAAAATGCGAAGTTCGCTGGGATCCGAAGTTTAAGCATGTTTGGGACAGCGAGTGGGAGAGACAGCTTCATCTCTCCCACGCAGATTCGCCAAGTTCGGATCACGACGAACATTGCGTTCCCGCCATTGGCGGGGAATGTTACCGGCTCGCCTGCTGGCCCGTGGATGTGACAAGAACATCAAGTCTGCTCGAGTCTGGACTTCACGACATTCCGAAACGGGTTTTCGAACATGCACTTCCTCTACGAGCGGACGTCGCAGAAAGCAAAACTGGACAGCATGACAACGGCGAATGATCACGTCGTGGTGGACCTGCCGCCTCGTGCGTTTAGGGCAAACATGACTCCTCGCACAATCGTCAAGTTCGGATCCCAGCGGACTTTGCGGTTTCGCATGATGCGCGTTCTGCCTGTGATCATTCTGGCGTCCGGCGGATTGTCACAACGATAGAAGCTCACCGGGATCCGAGCTCCTCGTTCTTCCCGTCTTGGGAACCGTGATGGTTCTCCGAGTACGGCCTGTGAACGTCGACTGCCAGTGCAACAACGATCCGTGCGGACAATGCCGTTTGATTACTCGCCAACTCTGTTTATGAGTGTCAACGTGCCGTGTGTGTCGTTTGGTATGTGCGCGTGGTGTGTAGGGCGCCTAATATAGGTGACCTTCTCGACACCACAGATCATGGAGTCGATGTTCTCGACACCACAGACCATGAGTCCCGAGACGCACATTCGCTTGGCAGAACCGTTTCCTCCTTGTGCGAGATCCGTGCGGCATTTCAATGGTTTAACTACGATCCAGGGAGCGACCGCAGAGGACTTCGACGAGGACCCCTGGATGACCGTCGTCCCGTGCATGGACAGGCATATTGACGGTTGGTGCGACGACAATTGGGCCACGATGGAGAGTGACTGCCCTTGGGCAGGCCAGTACAAGTTCGCCAACATGTTGGAGTTTGGGGACCTCATCCCGCTCCCTGACGTTGTCCTCGGCCACAAGTTCCTGAACCACATGCGCAGAGCACTAGGCTGCATTAGCCGATATTTCAGTCGCCTCGAGTGCCACTACGTCACGTCGTCGCCACGAACTTGGGGAGGCTCGCGGAAACGAGAGTTGGTGGACTGCGCTCGTCACTGCCCGTTCCTGGAGCAGTACCCGCTCCATTGCCCCGGGAGTTCTCCACAAGCTGTGTGGTACTGTTGTGTGCGGTTAACTGTGTCCAGATCTGATTTTGCCAGGGTTTTGCGTGTCGCTACTTCGAACAAGAGTAGGAAACTCGTCGATGCAGTTGTGCTCGTATCACGCAACGAGATGGCAATTGAGGGGTCCAGATTGGTGCCGACGCGCGGGCCTGCTCGTGTAGATGGGTGGCGAGATTTGGTGATAGCAGGGCCAGTCCCAAACTTTTCGTTGCATCGTGAGGTCGAGGAGAAAGTGTCTGACATACGGGACTGTATAGGGAACTCCTTAGCTTGATCGGGAGTGTTTGTTAGGATGAAATACATCTCCGTCTTTTCGGAGAGTGCAACGGTCAACGATCCGCTGGTCCACGTTTACGGATCATCAATGAATGCTTTGTATGGCTACGGTTCACGACCTCGTCCCCGGGGAACCCCTTAATGTCACAAGATCTGGATGTGTGGTTGGACATTGTGTTTAAGCGAAAAGAAGGGAGACGAGTGAGAGGCTTGTGTGCTGCCGAAAATGGCAGATTATGAGTGGTGGAGAAAGGCGTTGGAGGCAGCAGTTGCTAGTGCACGCCGTCTCTTTCCGTGTTGCGCCCTCTTGAAGTTCGGATCCCGGCGAACTTCGCGGTTTGGCCTGTGCGTCCGACCGGCCTCCGAGCTTCGAGTACTGGGCGGAGTCCGAAACGGTCCTACTACCAATTCCACCTGGACTTGCTCGGGCAGTCTTTGGAGATGCTGGATCGCAACTGCGGCCAGTTGCGCAGATGGACTCAATGACTGCTGCCATCAAAACCTGCGGTCAGCTGTGAGACCTCGGGGTTTTTCCTCGTGCGCCTTGGTCGAACCCCGTCTTGCGTCTAGACTCATAGTTGCTCCAGTGTTTCTCTCTGTCTCTCTTTCTCGCAGCCTCCTGAAGTTCGGATCCCGGCGAACTTCCAGTGTCGCCTGTCTATTGCCACAGACGGTGGTCTTCCGGATCCCTCGTGGATTGCGACAACAACCAGAATCCAGGGACCCCTGAAATGTTGTCATGGCTGCCGCTTTCGAACTTGGGTTCCTCCAGTGCCAACCTGTGCATATCGCGAAATCGGACATCAGAAGTAGTTTGGATCAGGGCAGACTTCTCCATTTCAACCAGCCTTTCATTCCAGTGTGGCCTTCCCGGGGTTGAGTTTAACAACCTTAGACTTGCGGATCGTGTATCTCTGACGCCGTTTCTGCCTGTCGTATCGTCCTGAAGTTCGGATCCCGGCGAACTTCACGTTTCGGGAGGTGCGTTGGTTTGTCTTCGGTCTTCGTGGTTCCGGGTGGATCGCACAACCCGCCCGGCAACAGTTCCGGAGTGCGTTTGCTCGAGCACGGTTCTGGGACGCTGGCTACATGGCTGACTCTCTCTCTGTCTCCCGCACCCTCTTCTAGTTCGGATCCCGACAGACTTCGAGTGTTGGACTGTCGGGGGTTTCGAGTGCCACGCGGGGGATACTGCCCGTCTAGCGCGAGCTTCGAACATGACCGCCAGTTGATTCCCGTGAAAAATTCCCGAATTCTGATTCCGTCGTCTCTATCTCACGCGCCGTCTTTTAGTTCGGATCCCGGTGGACTTCACTATTTTCACTGTGCGTTGGTCTGTCTTTATTCTTCCAGGTGCCCCGTCTGCCGCATGAACAGCGATTGATCCCATGCACACTGCGAGTTTTCACTTGCTTCTCTCTCTCTTTGTCTGCCTCTCGATCTCGTACCCTCTTGAAGTTCGGATCCCGGCGGACTACCCGTTCTCACCGTTCCGGAGTTGGGTGCCCAGGTGTCTTTGTGTGCGGATTTTGCTGCGCTACAGCCTGCGTTGACGTGCGGCAACAACTGTTCTGTTTCTCCTGTGTTTTGCCAGACGTTGACTTCATGGTGTGTTGTTTGATTTGCGTTGTCGTTCGCAGATAGTATGTCTTCTTCCAAGGGCGAGGTGGAGCCAACAGGGACCTCCAGGAAGGAATCAGGAAAAGATTCCACGAGGCGGTCGTCTAATGCCACGAAGGGGTGGTCGAACCATTCGAGGTCGAAATGGTTCATCGACTGGTGTTGTGGAGACGCTTCCAACCCCACCGCACAGCCATGTGGTCCTTTCATCTTCATCGATGACAGCAGAAGGCGTAGAGTGCTTGGTGCTGTCTTGCGGTGGGAGGACGCAAAGGGGGGCCGGCGACATTTCTATTTGCAAAAGGTTTATGGCGCCAAGGGCAACGTCGTTGCCAATTCGAAAGGGACGTTGATGGACCTCGAATTGTGTGAGGGGTTCAGAGCGGGTGTTGTGAACACCCCGTTCTACAGAGAACTCATTCTCGGGGGCGGTTTTGTTTTGGCGCGTGAATTTTTCGACATGTTGGAGGACAGGAACATCGCTCTCGACGTCCCCTGCGACGTCGGCCCCTCCCTGGAGCTCTCGTTACCGTTGAGGTTGTGCGGCGGTTGTGAATCAAGCGGGGCAGCGGCGGAGGGCGATGATCTGGGTTTTGGTCCCGCCACTCACCTGCACCGTGGCGAGAGCGGAGGTCAGTTCGACGACAGCGAGGATGAGGGGCCTGCTCCGCCGTTGAGTGACACGCGGCGGTCTGTGTTGTCTATTCCTGGGGTTCAGACTGACGCTCCGGTTCAGCGGAAGAGTACGGAACCTGCAGGAGAGGTGGCGGCCTTTTCGGAGGTCAACTTTGAGGCGAGCGAGGGACAGAGTGTAGAGGAGGTAACCGCCGGAGGCCTGGGCTCGCAAGGGGCTCCACAAAAGAGGAGGGGGGATCGTCCAGACGAGTTCGCCGGTTCTACGAAGAAGTTAAAGAGCAAGGCCCCCAGGACTGCGGGGGAGAAACGCAAGGGGACCGAGGGGGAGCAGGGCCGGCAGGTTGCCAAATGACCGTCTTCGAGACAGAAGCAGCCTGAGTCTGGACCGTCTTCTCCACCGACAACAGGGACTCCCATCGACGTCGACGCCGGGTACTTCCTCGAGTACAAAGACGACGTTTGGACAAAGCGCGAGTTCGAGATTAGCCCTGCGCAGGTCGTCGACCTCGGGGACTAGGAGGACCTGTACACCCAGCGGTCCCTAGATCCTGTGCTTGTGGAAGGGATCAAAGAAGCGATGCAGTTGGCGTTCGAAAACAAAGCGCAGTCTTACGATTTACCTACCCTGAAGCTAGCACCGCAGGGGCTTGATAAACCGACTCCGGGGACCAAGGCAGAATGTCTGAGGCCGGAGGATTGGAGGGATGAGCTGGCGGGACAAGACTACTACTACGTGGTGTGTGGGCAGCACAACGCGGCTGCAGCGAGGTTGCTGCTCGGCAACGAGGTGGCTAGGAAATACAATTTCGAGCGGTGGCCTGCACGAATGGTCTACTTTTCGGACGACGACTTCGAAGGGTACTTCCTTGTCAGTTTCCAGGACAACAAGAAGGACCTGAAGGCGCCCCCAGGACAGCTGAAGCTATCAATGAGAGACATTAGGTGACAGTGGAAACGCGCCGGTTGCCCGCGTGCTGTTATGGGGAACCCCAGCGGAAAACAGGATCAGGTCTTGAAGTGGCGTGAATTCTGTAATGTCGCGCTCAACATGACACCGCACAACAATTTGTGGATTCTCGCAGATCAAAAGGGCGAGGAGGCCATCAGGAAACAAGGCGCTGCCCTGCGTTCCTATTTTCCGCTGGCGATGGTAGGGGAGAACGTCTGGAAACTGGCCGTCGAGTTTTTCGAGAAATGGGAGACAGGCAGATTGCTTGAACACGACGGCGCAAAGTGGATCATGCGGAAGAAGAAAGTCAAAAACGTGAAGCCTGGGGTTGCCTACATCGACAACGACAACGTCCCGGTGGACCCGCCGACAAAGAAAGGCAAAAAGGAGAAAGAGGAGGGCGAGTGGTTCGTGCAAGTGCCAGAGTCGGATGCACATTGTTGGAAAACGATGGAGTCGCTGACCGACAATGAGAAGTGCCGCGTCCTAAAGAAGGTCATCGCTTGCGAGGTGGTTTGGGTCCAGGCCGGCTCCCTAGCGTTGGCGAAGCTCGGAAAGCTGAGCGTCCAGGAGATGGTGCATTTGGTGAAGTGCGACCGGGTGCTGGTGCGTCTATGGAACTACTACCAGTTCAAGCACGACAAGAGGCCGGACGCGGATTGGAGCCAGAGGTGCCCTTTCCTGAAATCAAGGTCCGCAATTTTCAGACAGTTTGAGAGTCATGGTTTGGATGCTGAGTTGTAGGACGGGAGCAGGAAATACGTCACTGACTCCTCGCTGTTCAAGGACTGCCCGCCGTACATGGGCTGCGACGACGACAAATCGATCGAGGCGACGGAGAAGTTGGCCGGTCACAAGAAGTTGTCCGTCGACTGGAGGAATAAGGTCTTGTCCGTGTTGACTGGCAGTAGACTGAAGAGTCGAGAGATCGCGCTCGCCGAAGGCATTGTGCACATAAAATGGAAAAAATACGAGCCACATCCCGCGCAGCACGCTACAGGGTCGTCCTTGGCAGGTCCGTCAACAAGCCCGGCGTCCCTCGTGTCACCGATTGCGAAACCGGCGCCTGACACTACCCCGATGAAGTTGCTGAAGAGACTGCAAGCTCAGGCCTCCGGCCATCGCTCACTGCATCCCAGGTCTCACATCCCGGCCGATCATCTGTCTTGGAAGGATGCCAACATTCACTTCCTGCCTAAGCCTCAAAGTCGTTCCACGGAGGCAGACTGGGGCCATGACATGATTTGGCATCCAGGAGTCATCCAACCGGCGATCCAAAAGGGTGAGTGGATCGTGGCCGTCGCTGTCCCGGACGGAGGATGGATGCCCCTCCCTCGCGGGTCAAAGTCTGACTTCCTCGACGTCGCTAGAATTGCGGTCCTCCAGAAAGTAAGGGCCGGGAATGACTCTTTCGCACCCGGAGACATGTCCGTCATTTCCACAGTCGGGCGATTGTTCGCCGAACTTCAGGACAAGTGCTGGTTGGAGCTGACGGAGGACTACTACGACCTCGATACGAGCCCCTCGAAGGGAAGGGTGGACTGGAAAATCCCCCCTCCCAGTGGGATGCATGTAAGTACAGGGTCCCGGGGACCGGACGGTGGGGAGAACGAGGGCGACGAGGCTGGGGGCGGCAAAGGAGTCCCGCCTGGTTCGCAGGGCGGGTCTCACGGCGACACCACGACAGCGGAAGGCAGCGGCGGGGTGCCGGGGGAGGCCTTTGGGCGTCAACAGTCTACCGGTCCCGGTCCGGAAGGCTCCGCACAGTCAGCGGACGTGCCCACTTCATCCGCCGGCTCGGTGATGGCGGCCTTGGTTGCTCTCCGTGCCGGCTCGGTCGAAACTTTCAAATCCGCGGGGATTTGAACTTCAATGCTTGCAGAGCGAACAAAGAGGACGGACACGCAGAGCTGGTCAAGAGCGGGGGTGGCGAGTCGTGATCCCAAAATAGACAGCGGTGCAGTGAGGGACGGGACTGCGCCGCCTGTGGGGGATTGCCAACCTCTTCGGTCGGAGCGAGGGGGTACGTGTGGAGGGCCCGGCGACAGGGAGACGGCGAAGTTCGCCGGGATCCGAACTTCTTCAGGCAAGGGGGGCCAACCAGGGATTGTGGTGCCGGCGGGAGGGGCTGCGTGCGGGGGGCAGCAAGGGCATTCGTCGGAATTCGACACGGGTTCGGGCGAAGTGGCTGGATTGCATGCACGGGAAGAAGGCAGGGTGATGGACAAAGAGAAGGAAGGGGAGGAAGGAGACACAAGGGAGGAATTGGAGGAAGGAGGGGACGAAGGGGAGGAAGAAGAGGATGAAGGGGAGGAAGGAGAGGAAGGGGAAGAAACGGAGTTGTCTGGGTTGCTAGGAGGGAAGGAGGGGGAAAAAGGTGAACTCGATATTGGAGATGACGAACGGACGTTCGGCGACGACGATGACAGATCTGGGGAGTCGTCCGACTGATTCGGGCAGCTGTACGGAGAACATCGCGAGAAAGACAACGACGACGCTGACACGACACTGGGTATGGAGACACAGGTGGCCACAAGCCTTTCGGCAGAACGTGATGACTATGAGGTCGAAGCACTAACGTCTGCCGTCGATCTCCAACACCGGTTCAACGAAGCTCGTGTTGCAGTCAGCCTGACTAAACCGAGTGTGCGTATTGACATCGAAGAAGTTATCGACGGCATCCTGAGCGACCACCACATGTCCGCACAACCGTCCTCGACGCCTGGTGCCGACGACCCTCTCGACGTCAAACCTTCCGGGGGATCTGTCGTGGCTTTCTCGCCGACGAACTCTCCGATGCTGCCGCCGACCATCGCTAGCGGAGGAGAAGGCGAGATCAGGGGACGACAAGATGTCACATCCCCGAAAAAAACTGCCGCCGACACTCGAGCTCTTATCGTGCTGGCCTTGTCCGCGCCAACTTTGCCGATTAAGGAGCGGAGAGACAAACCAACTGGTAAGCAGTGACAAACGCCACTCTGTCTGCGCGCCAGTGACTGTAGTGTCTGTCGATGCGGGGAGTTCCTGATGCCGGCATGCAACAGCCACCACTCCTTCAAACTTTCAAGTACATGTGAACGACCATCATGTTAGTCGGCCAGGTCACCGGTCGTGTGCAGGGCATACGAGACAAAAACATGTGTGTTTTTGTTGAAGCGTTCCCTAACATAATGGAAGGATGGTGTTTCGTTTTCAGAATGAGTGGTGGTTTTAGTCCGTCGTGATCCTGACTTCAGAAATGTTTGGCCTCTGAGTTTGTGGCTTGTTGAGGTTTTCCCTTCTGAAGAGCGGGGGTGTCGAGGTCGAATGCACTGCTCCTTTTGTTTTCCAGCGGGGCTTGCGCGAAAGTATTCTCTATCTCTCTTATGGCTAAATGGGGTTCTGTAATTAGATAGGTCCTGCGTCTTCTACATTTCGTGGTGCTTGAATTGTTGTTTCGTCGGATTCGTCTTGGATTACGTATATTCATTTTCCGTTTTCTCTTCCTTCGGTTTTACAGGGGTTGGGTCATCTCCCTGGGTTGGAAAAGTCCGCCGGGATCCGGACTTCAAAGATGTTTGGCTTCTGCTTTTGTGACTTGATGTGGTTTTCCCTTCTGAAGGGCCGGGGTGTCGAGCTCAAGTGCACTGCTCGTTTTGTTTTGCAGCGTGGCTCATGCGTAAGTTCTCTCTCTTGCACTCTCATGGCATAACGGGGTTCTGTAATTGCATAGGTCCTGCGTCTTTTACATTTCATGGTTCTTGAAATTGTCCTTTCGTCGGGTTCTTCTTCGGAAACGTGTATTCATTTTCCGTTTTGTCTTTCTTCTGTTGTACAGGGGTAGGGTCGTCTCGAACACAGAGGCCCTCTAAATATTTGGAACACATATTGCATACAGTCCCGGGGTTGACGACAAAACACAAGGACATGTCAAAGGCGTTAGGGGTTGATGTTGAAATCTGGAAGAAGGAGCATGCCATTGCAATTGAGGAGTGTCTTTCCCTTCTGCCCCCAGAGAAAGGGACATATCCACGATCTGTGACTAGGGGTCAGGCCATGTATGAGAAATACTTAGCTACTCGTCGTGCGATGAAGGAAAATCCTTAGAGTTTCGTTTCTCACTTCCCCCCCTGTCCTTTGCTCGATGTTGTGCAGTGCAGACCACGACACCTGGAACAGCAGTGACTGCGATTGGAAGCTTGCGGGTTTTGGACAACATTGAACGAGGCTTGGTGCCACCTAACACTGTACTCTCGACCCTCGACGATGGTCAGTTACGAATTGCAGCGAAGGATATTCTCACCCTCTCACTTACCGACGGCAGGGTGAATGATGAGGTGGTCAACTTTTACATGGCGCTATTGGGAACGACCGCATATGGGATACGTTACATCCCGTCAGGCCTTCCAGTCTTCAGCTTTAATTATTTCTGCTTCAGTAAACTGCAACTTCAAGGACACAGCGGGGTGGAAAGATGGACTAAAAACGTGGATCTGCTTCAATATGATATTATCTTTGTTCCGGTCCTCAAAGATAATGATCACTGGATCCTCTTTTCTGTGAACTTGAGAGATAATGTTCTTGAGATTTTCGATTTTTTTCCTTGCATTGTAGTCGATTCTAGTTTTTACCTTAGTGTTTTCGAGTTGATCATACACTATTTGGAATGTCAAACATCACATAGGCGGTCGTGAAGGCGCTGGAAGTCGGTAGCAACAAATGTTGTTATAGAGGGAGTTCCAAGATAAGTGGATGGAGTTAGTTGTTGGGTGTTTATGTTGATGTTTGCGACACTGTTGCAACGTGGCGATCGACCGCCTTTCAGGTTCTCTTGCAAAAATATTCCGTATATTAGACGACAATTGGCATCATGTATCTTGGAATGTCGTTGTCTTTGATGGATTCGATTGATTTGCAAACTTCTATTTCAGAATATTTCATATTTTAACTGTCGCTTTCACAACGACATTACTTTCTTTTGGTGTTGCGAGTTTGAGTTGTCTTTGGTATGTTGACTGTCAGTCTGGCGTCGCTTGTTGCCTTCGGAATCTCTATCAGGTCCGGCTCGTCTGTCGTGGCATTACATTCATCGCATTGCAGTCCTCGTTGCAAATTGTGTCCAGGTCATCCAAAGTTGTGCATATAATTCACCTCGAAATGATGTTCGTGTGTGTGGTGCGACATGACGAATTGGAGTGTGGATGCAGGACAATTCTCGGCGAGTGTGTATGTGGGTGTGAGGTTCGTTATGCAAAGAGTAAAAGACCAGTGACATCACGTCTCTTGTGTGCATAGACAATCATGTACTTGTGACCGCCTGAATTACATGTAACCGACAATTTTGCGTTTGTGACCGGGAAAAATAATTGTATGTCAAAAATAACTGTTTGTATTTCTATAGAAGTCTGAATCTCTACAACATCCAGACAACTGCCTCGGGCGAGACGATTGCCATGCATGTACAACTCACGCATAAAAGAATAAATAGTATTATCCAACAAGGATTCAATCATGACACCTTGCTCATCACATTCACAAACTTGAAGTTTGACAAGTGTGGCTCCCGACACACTATCGCACAGGCATCCCGGATGGGCATGCCTGTCGCTACTCTACATCTTCTAATATAATTCTTCAACGAGGATGCAATCATGACACATTTGTTACGGACTCCGCAAGGGCTCGATCCCTGGTCTATCTTTTGCTGTTTCAGCTGCATCCCGTTTTCGGCCTGGCACCCTTTTTCCAAACCCCTCCTTTGGTACCGTAGGATTTTTGACAACTGGCGCAATGCTGCAATTCGGGCGTCACTTTCAAATACTGCATTTTTCAGTTCTGCCCTCGGGGCCTTTGCAGAAATGCCCCTAGTACCGTACGTGTCACCGGTACTTATACCGGCTCCCCGTACGGTACGGGGACCAGTCCTCGTACCAGTTTTCAGCTGCTGTACTCGTACTCAGTGTGACTTGCTCATGTTTCGACATTGGGGAATCCAAGACTTTGACTTTGTGTCCTTGCCACTTTGTCTGCGTCCGACCCTCGGTCGTGTCGTGTTGAGTGAGTGAGTGTGTGTGTGTGTGCTCTCACTCTCTCCCTCTCTCTCTCTCCTCTCTTTCGGCTCTCCCTGTCTCCCTCGACCTCGTACTCGTTACACTGGTATCGGAGCAAGAAGCTCCTCCTCGTCGCCGCCATTGTGTCACATCATCGACAACGCCGCCGACCGCTGTGCCATGTCATCAACGCCACGACATCGCAGCCACGCCTCGTCCTCGTCGTCCTGCCACGTCATCAAGTGCCACTGCCGCGATCCTTGCCGCGCTGCCAGGTAAGCACAAAAATTTTTCTCTTTCTTTTCTTCTTTCGTCTTCTTCTTCTTTTCTTCTTCATTCTCTCGAAGAGTCCTCTCCCCCGTGACTTTGAAACTTCGATTCTGAATCGAAATCGAACTCAAAATCGACTTCGATTTCAAATCGAAATCGATTCCGATTCACCCCTCTCCCCAACTCCGCTATCGACCCG